CATGGCCCACCTAGCCCACCATGCCCATCAACTGCCCATGTGGGGCCCACATGGGCATGCTGGCTGGGGTTTGCCCATTTGGGCCCCACGTGGGCCCCGGATGGGTGTGCCCAGTTTGTTGGTGCCCAGTCTGCCCACATGCTGCCCGCATCCAGCCCAGATAGGTGTCGGGTCAGTTAACAAAGTTTTGTAGTAAGGTTTGCCCATTTGGGCCCCATGTGGGCCCCGGATGGGTGTGCCCAGCTTGTTGGTGCCCAGTCTGCCCACATGCTGCCCGCATCCAGCCCAGATAGGTGTCGGGTCAGTTAACAAAGTGTAGTAAAGTTTGCCCATTTGGGCCCCATGTGGGCCCCGGATGGGTGTGCCCAGCTTGTTGGTGCCCAGTTTGCCCACATGCTGCCCGCATCCAGCCCAGATAGGTGCCGGGCCAGTTAACAAAATTTTGTAATAAAGGAAATGTTTATTGCAGATTGGTGTAGGTGTCGGGTCAGTTAACAATTAGTTTTGTAGTAACTTTTGCCCATGTGGGCCCCGGATGGGTGTGCCCAGCTTGTTGGTGCCCAGTCTGCCCACATGCTGCCCGCATCCAGCCCAGATAGGTGTCGGGTCAGTTAACAAAGTTTTGTAGTAAATTCTGCCCATGTGGGCGGCTGGGCCCCATGTGGGCCCCGGCTGGGTGTGCCCAGCGTGTTGGTGTCCAGTTTGCCCACATGCTGCCCGCATCCAGCCCAGATACCTAGGTGTCGGGTCAGTTAACAAAGTTTTGTAGTAAATTTTGTCCATGTGGGCGGCCGGGCCCCATGTGGGCCCCGGCTGGGTGTGCCCAGCTTGTTGATGTCCAGTTTGCCCACATGCTGCCTGCATCCAGCCCAGATAGGTGTCGGGTCAGATACCAACATTTTGTAGTAAAGGAAATGTCCATATCCCAGCAAACATGCCCACATGGTTCCCATATGGGGCCCACATGGCCCCCCACCTCTTCCATATGGGCCCCACATGGGAATAGCAGTGGGTGACACATGGGACCCATATGGGCAAGCCCACGTAGGCCCCATATGAGACCCACGCGGCCCCCACATCAGGGACCCATATGGGCCAGCCTACATTGACCCCATATGGCATCATGTATGAACTTGATGTACTTGGAGTTCAAAATTCACATGAACAACAGTCACCTTTTTTGCTTTTATGCTCTTGGAGTAACTTAAATGGGGCCTACAGGGGTGATCCATATGGGACCCACATGGGATGCCCATCTCCAGCCCACATGCGTTTGGCCCACCTGGCCCATTTTTCCCATATGGGGCCCATATGGGTAGCCCATCTGTAGCCCATGTCCCACGTGGGCCCATCTGGCCCATGTTCACCCCATATGGGACCCACATGGGATGCCCATCTCCAGCCCACATGCGTTTGGCCCACCTGGCCCATTTTTCCCATATGGGGCCCATATGGGTAGCCCATCTGTAGCCCATGTTCCACGTGGGCCCATCTGGCCCATGTTCACCCCATATGGGACCCACATGGGATGCCCATCTCCAGCCCACATGCGTTTGGCCCACCTGGCCCATTTTTATCCCATATGGGGCCCATATGGGTAGCCCATCTGTAGCCCATGTCCCACGTGAGCCCATTTGGCCCATGTTTACCCCATATGGGACCCACATGGGATATCCATCTCCAGCCCACATGCGATTGGCCCACCTGGCCCATTTTTATCCCGTATGGGGCCCATATGGGTAGCCCATCTGTAGCCCATGTCCCACTGGGCCCATCTGGCCCATGTTTACCCCATATGGGACCCACATGGGATGCCCATCTCCAGCCCACATGCGTTTGGCCCACCTGGCCCATTTTTATCCCATATGGGTCCCATATGGGTAGCGCATCTGTACCCCATGTCCCACGTGAGCCCATCTGGCCCATGTTCACCCCATATGGGACCCACATGGGATGCCCATCTCCAGCCCACACGCGTTTGGCCCACCTGGCCCAGTTTTATCCCATATGGGGCCATATGGATAGCCCATCTGTAGCCCATGTCCCAACTCCAACGTGGGCCCATCTGGCCCATGTTCACCGCATATGGGACCCACATGGGATGCCCATCTCCAGCCCACATGCGTTTGGCCCACCTGGCTCATTTTCATCCCTTATGGGGCCCATATGGGTAGCCCATCTGTAGCCCATGTCCCACGTGGGCCCATCTGGGACCCACATGGGATGCCCATCTCCAGCCCACATGCGTTTGGCCCACCTGGCCCATTTTTATCTCATATGGGGCCCATATGGGTAGCCCATCTGTAGCCCATGTCCCACTGGGCCCATTTTGCCCATGTTTACCCCATATGGGACCCACATGGGATGCCCATCTCCAGCCCACATGCGTTTGGCCCACCTGGCCCATTCTTATCCCATATGGGGCCCATATGGGTAGCCCATCTGTAGCCCATGTCCCACGTGAGCCCATCTGGCCCATGTTCACCCCATATGGAACCCACATGGGATGCCCATCTCCAGCCCACATGCGTTTGGCCCACCTGGCCCATTTTTATCCCATATGGGGCCCATATGGGTAGCCCATCTGTAGCCCATGTCCCACGTGGGCCCATCTGGCCCATGTTCACCGCATATGGGACCCACATGGGACGCCCATCTCCAGCCCACATGCGTTTGGCCCACCTGGCTCATTTTTATCCCTTATGGGGCCCATATGGGTAGCCCATCTATAGCCCATGTCCCACGTGGGCCCATCTGGGACCCACATGGGATGCCCATCTCCAGCCCACATGCGTTTGGCCCACCTGGCCCATTTTTATCTCACATGGGGCCCATATGGGTAGCCCATCTGTAGCCCATGTCCCACTGGGCCCATCTGGCCCATGTTTACCCCATATGGGACCCACATGGGATGCCCATCTCCAGCCCACATGCGTTTGGCCCACCTGGCCCATTTTTATCCCATATGGGGCCCATATGGGTTGCCCATCTGTAGCCCATGTCCCACGTGAGCCCATCTGGCCCATGTTCACCCCATATGGGACCCACATGGGATGCCCATCTCCAGCCCACATGCGTTTGGCCCACCTGGCCCATTTTTATCCCCTATGGGGCCCATATGGGTAGCCCATCTGTAGCCCATGTCCCACGTGGGCCCATCTGGCCCATGTTCACCCCATATGGGACCCACATGGGATGCCCATCTCCAGCCCACATGCGTTTTGCCCACCTGGCCCATTTTTATCCCATATGGGGCCCATGTGGGTAGCCCATCTGTAGCCCATGTCCCACGTGGGCCCATCTGGCCCATGTTCACCCCATATGGGACCCATGTGGGCATGTTTGCTGGGGCTCAGCCCATATGGGACCCAGATTTAGCCCAGATAATAGCCCACATGTAGCTCATGCCCACTTAAGCCCAGATGCCCCACTTTCAGCCCATATGGGCCCCATTTGGGAAGGCTGGCTGGGTGACCCGACACCTAGGTATCTGGGCTGGATGCGGGCAGCATGTGGGCAAACTGGACACCAACACGCTGGGCACACCCAGCCGGGGCCCACATGGGGCCCAGCCGCCCACATGGGCAAAATTTACTACAAAACTTTGTTAACTGACCCGACACCTATCTGGGCTGGATGCGGGCAGCATGTGGGCAGACTGGGCTTCAACAAGCTGGGCACTCCAATCCGGGGCCCACATGGGCAAAAGTTACTACAAAACTAATTGTTAACTGACCCGACACCTACACCATATATAAACATTTCCTTTATAACAAAATTTTGTTAACTGACCCGGCACCTATCTGGGCTGGATGCGGGCAGCATGTGGGCAAACTGGGCACCAACAAGCTGGGCACACCCATCCGGGGCCCACATGGGGCCCAAATGGGCAAACTTTACTACACTTTGTTAACTGACCCGACACCTATCTGGGCTGGATGCGGGCAGCATGTGGGCAGACTGGGCACCAACAAGCTGGGCACACCCATCCGGGGCCCACATGGGGCCCAAATGGGCAAACCTTACTACAAAACTTTGTTAACTGACCCGACACCTATCTGGGCTGGATGCGGGCAGCATGTGGGCAGACTGGGCACCAACAAACTTGGCACACCCATCCGGGGCCCACGTGGGGCCCAAATGGGCAAACCCCAGCCAGCATGCCCATGTGGGCCCCACATGGGCAGTTGATGGGCATGGTGTGCTAGGTGGGCCATGGGCTAGAGATGGGCAAATATGTGGGCTGCATGTGGGCCCCACATGGGCTCCTCACATATTTTTTGGCAGGCATAATGTTTGATAATGAGATTGCTTGCACATGTACGAGGGCATATCCAGGAATTTTGGTGAACACAGGCATTCACGCGGTGTTCCTGTATGGTGGGCTTAACATGGGCACTGCGTGGGCAGCTCATGTAGTGGGGTGTCGGTGGGCTGGATGTGGGCAGCCCATTATTTATTTTTTTCACTGTCCAATGTGTATGACATTACAAGAAAAAAGAACTCGCTGTTTAGTCTCATGCCTCCAAAATACACTTCGACGTCGTGAGGAAGTCGCATAGTTGATGTTTGTGAGACCAGCTACGGCTGATATTGGACAGTCAATGTTGTGATTGTGTCGTATGATTGTGTCGCCTGAGCCCGCCCCTGCGCGGGCGACCCGACGGCGGAGCTCGGCCCACCGGACGGGGCCGGGGCCGCCTCTGCACCGCCCGGGGCGGTGACCGGCCGACCGGCTGGCGGGGCTGCGGCGTCTGGGCGGGCCAGTTGGCGTTGAGACTCTGAGTCGTGTGCGTGTCCAATAAAGCCTTAATTCGGGCGGAACCGACACATGGCGCGGTCGGTATTAGCTCGAACCCGCCCATAGTGAGTACAAAGTGCGATGAACGAAAGTGAAAGGAAGTAGGAATGCGTAGCCGTGGCGGCCGCGCCGCAACCACGACCGCGTTCGAGTCTCTTGGGAGAGGCGCGCCCGCAGCGACGCCAGCTGTATCGGTAGTTGGTCAAGTCGCAGCTGTGACATCAGGACGTAGTCGTCCCATCTCTCCTTCCAGAGGTAGAAGGCGTCACTGCGGTCGGTGGAGATGTCCAGTCGGTCAGGCCGGATCGGCTGCAGGCTCGTCATACCACAGCGATTACGAAGGACTGTTCTAGAAGCCCTCCACGCCAGCCACCTGGGGAAGGAGAAGACGAAGGCCCGCGCAAGACAGATCGTCTACTGGCCCGGGATCTACCGGGATGTGGAAAATGTCACCCGCTGCTGTACCAGCTGCCAGAGAGATCTACCCGTTCAGCAGCAAGAGACCATGATGAGGAGACCGCCAGCGGAAAGGCCGTTCGAACTACACATCGACTTTGCCGATCACGCCGGCAGGAAGTACCTCGTGAGTCGTGGCAGTGGACAGATACTCCGGGTGTCTGTTTGTCGCCGACCTCGGTGTAAGCGCCCCCGCTTACACCGGTCCGAAGGACGATAGCAGGCGTCATGACGAGCGCACTCGCTACGCGACTAAGCGTAAATGGACGGCACGGGAAAAGGGCTTTCGGCGGTACCCGGCTTTTTGATGTCGTGTTCAGTAAGTAATGGTTTTATCTCTTTATTTAATTGCCCAACTCCCTTGGACACCTGATAGCGGATGTCAGAATAACAGCAGCACTCCCATTCATATGTTATTTCAGGGGTCGTCAATTACTGTCCGATTAGCGAATTCCAAGCAGCCGACTTATAAAGCACTAATGTCCTTTGTGTCCATCATAATCGGACCTTGTATGTTTATTCTGCATCAGATTATTTCCTGCAAAAAAAAATAATATTTAAAGTTCATTTCTCAATTATTCAAGTCAAATCAGATGATGTTACTTTTAATGCAGGTAATACAGAATCATGGTAGAACACAGCACGGGCAATACACAATTCGCTTATGTGTCTGCACATTTTACATTGCTGGTGCTTATTTTACAGGAGCCGTGCGGCGGAACGGGCTTACCCAGGACACCAACAACGGCCAGCTGGAGGTGGCGCCACGAAAGTGGTTTACGGGTGCCAGGAACCGCGACGGAGGCCGCCAGGAGAGGAGACCAGCTGGAGTTTAAGCGGAGGAGCAGATGAGAGAAGAAGTCTAGAGATGAACAGAAGAGAGGAGAGAGTTTAAACAGCATTTTTGTGTTTATCGTTAATATAAATATTGATCACTGACAGTTTGTTTTGTTGCGGTGGCGAACGTTCAGCAATGATCAGGGGGAGTGATTGAAATAGCAGACATCGATTATATTATAATCATATTGAAATTAATTGTAGGTTCTGGTGGGAACTAAGATGGGCTTTGGTGAATATTTATTGATTAATACAAACGATGCTAGGGAGGTGTGAGCCAGCATGGGGCCCACCTAGGGCCCACATCTGCTGGCCCACTTGGACCCCATATGGTACCCACCTTGAGCCCATGTGGGCCAGCCCAGGTGGGCCACATATGGTACCCATCTTGAGCCCATGTGGGCCAGCCCAGGTGGGCCCCATATGGTACCCACCTTGAGCCCACGTGGGCCAGCCCAGGTGGGCCCCACCATTTACCCAGGGACAAATTTATGTGGGCCCCACATGGGCTGCCCACATGGGTCCCACCAAGTGGCCCACCTGGGCCCCATGTGGGGCCAAGGTAATAATGTTGGCTGGGTATGGGTCCCAGCTGGGTCCCATTTCCAACCCACATGGGCTCCAGGTGGGATTTTTCGCTTATACCCATTTGGGTCCCGGCTGGGAAAGCCCATATGGGACGCGGCTGGGCCCCATATGGGTCCCATGTCGAACCCACATGGCCCCATGTGGGATTTTTCGCTTATACCCATGTGGGTCCCGGCTGGGAAAGCCCATGTGGGACCCATATGTGCCCCGGCTGGGCCCCATTTGGGTCCCATTTCGAACCCACATGGGCCCCATGTGGGATTTTTCGCTTATATCCATGTGGGTCCCGGCTGGGAAAGCCCATGTGGGACCCATATGTGCCCCGGCTGGGCCCCATATGGGTCCCATTTCGAACCCACATGAGCCCCATGTGGGATTTTTCGCTTATACCCATGAGGGTCCCGGCTGGGAAAGCCCATGTGGGACCCATATGTGCCCCGGCTGGGCCCCATATGGGTCCCATTTCGAACCCACATGGGCCCCATGTGGGATTTTTCAATTATACCCATGTGGGTCCCGGCTGGGAAAGCCCATGTGGGACCCATATGTGCCCCGGCTGGGCCCCATATGGGTCCCATTTCGAACCCACATGGGCCCCATGTGGGATTCTTCAATTATACCCATGTGGGTCCCGGCTGGGAAAGCCCATGTGGGACCCATATGTGCCCCGGCTGGGCCCCATATGGGGCCCATCTGGGCTGCCCATATGGGACCCAGTTGGACGCCCATGACAAACACATCTGGGCCCCAAGTGGGCAGCCCAGATGGGCCCCAGTTTGCTGCCCACTTGGGGCCCATATGGGCCCCATTTGGGAAGGCTGGCTGGGATGGGTGTGCCCAGCTTGTTGGTGCCCAGTCTGCCCACATGCTGCCCGCATCCAGCCCAGATAGGTGTCGGGTCAGTTAACAAAGTTTTGTAGTAAATTTTGCCCATGTGGGCGGCTGGGCCCCGTGTGGGCCCCGGCTGGGTGTGCCCAGCGTGTTGGTGTCCAGTTTGCCCACATGCTGCCCGCATCCAGCCCAGATACCTAGGTGTCGGGTCAGTTAACAAAGTTTTGTAGTAAATTTTGTCCATGTGGGCGGCCGGGCCCCATGTGGGCCCCGGCTGGGTGTGCCCAGCTTGTTGATGTCCAGTTTGCCCACATGCTGCCCGCATCCAGCCCAGATAGGTGTCGGGTCAGATACGAACATTTTGTAGTAAAGGAAATGTCCATATCCCAGCAGACATGCCCACATGGTTCCCATTTGGGGCCCACACGGCCCCCCACCTCTTCCATATGGGACCACATGGGAATAGCAGTGGGTGACACATGGGACCCATATGGGCAAGCCCACGTAGGCCCCATATGAGACCCACGCGGCCCCCACATCAGGGACCCATATGGGCCAGCCTACATTGACCCCATATGGCATCATATATGAACTTGATGTACTTGGAGTCCAAAATTCACATGAACAGCAGTCACCTTTTTTGCTTTTATGCTCTTGGAGTAACTTAAATGGGGCCTACATGGGTGATCCATATGGGACCCACATGGGATGCCCATCTCCAGCCCACATGCGTTTGGCCCACCTGGCCCATTTTTCCTATATGGGGCCCATCTGTAGCCCATGTCCCACGTGGGCCCATCTGGCCCATGTTCACCCCATATGGGACCCACATGGGATGCCCATCTCCAGGCCACATGCGTTTGGCCCACCTGACCCATTTTATCCCATATGGGGCCCATATGGGTAACCCATCTGTAGCCCATGTCCCACGTGAGCCCATCTGGCCTATGTTTACCCCATATGGGACCCACATGGGATATCCATCTCCAGCCCACATGCGATTGGCCCACCTGGCCCATTTTTATCCCATATGGGGCCCATACGGGTAGTACATCTGTAGCCCATGTCCCACTGGGCCCATCTGGCCCATGTTTACCCCATATGGGACCCACATGGGATGCCCATCTCCAGCCCACATGCGTTTGGCCCACCTGGCCCATTTTTCCCATATGGGGCCCATATGGGTAGCCCATCTGTAGCCCATGTCCCACGTGGGCCCATCTGGCCCATGTTCACCCCATATGGGACCCACATGGGATGCCCATCTCCAGTCCACATGCGTTTGGCCCACCTGGCCCATTTTTCCCATATGGGGCCCATATGGGTAGCCCATCTGTAGCCCATGTCCCACGTGGGCCCATCTGGCCCATGTTCACCCCATATGGGACCCACATGGGATGCCCATCTCCAGCCCACATGCGTTTGGCCCACCTGGCCCATTTTTATCCCATATGGGGCCATATGGGTAGCCCATCTGTAGCCCATGTCCCACGTGAGCCCATTTGGCCCATGTTTACCCCATATGGGACCCACATGGGATATCTATCTCCAGCCCACATGCGATTGGCCCACCTGGCCCATTTTTATCCCGTATGGGGCCCATATGGGTAGCCCATCTGTAGCCCATGTCCCACTGGGCCCATCTGGCCCATGTTTACCCCATATGGGACCCACATGGGATGCCCATCTCCAGCCCACATGCGTTTGGCCCACCTGGCCCATTTTTATCCCATATGGGGCCCATATGGGTAGCCCATCTGTAGCCCATGTCCCACGTGAGCCCATCTGGCCCATGTTCACCCCATATGGGACCCACATGGGATGCCCATCTCCAGCCCACATGCGTTTGGCCCACCTGGCCCAGTTTTATCCCATATGGGGCCATATGGATAGCCCATCTGTAGCCCATGTCCCAACTCCCACGTGGGCCCATCTGGCCCATGTTCACCGCATATGGGACCCACATGGGATGCCCATCTCCAGCCCACATGCGTTTGGCCCACCTGGCTCATTTTTATCCCTTATGGGGCCCATATGGGTAGCCCATCTGTAGCCCATGTCCCACGTTGGCCCATCTGGGACCCACATGGGATGCCCATCTCCAGCCCACATGCGTTTGGCCCACCTGGCCCATTTTTATCTCATATGGGGCCCATATGGGTAGCCCATCTGTAGCCCATGTCCCACTGGGCCCATCTTGCCCATGTTTACCCCATATGGGACCCACATGGGATGCCCATCTCCAGCCCACATGCGTTTGGCCCACCTGGCCCATTTTTATCCCATATGGGGCCCATATGGGTAGCCCATCTGTAGCCCATGTCCCACGTGAGCCCATCTGGCCCATGTTCACCCCATATGGGACCCACATGGGATGCTCATCTCCAGCCCACATGCGTTTGGCCCACCTGGCCCATTTTTATCCCATATGGGGCCCATATGGGTAGCCCATCTGTAGCCCATGTCCCACGTGGGCCCATCTGGCCCATGTTCACCGCATATGGGACCCACATGGGACGCCCATCTCCAGCCCACATGCGTTTGGCCCACCTGGCTCATTTTTATCCCTTATGGGGCCCATATGGGTAGCCCATCTATAGCCCATGTCCCACGTGGGCCCATCTGGGACCCACATGGGATGCCCATCTCCATCCCACATGCGTTTGGCCCACCTGGCCCATTTTTATCTCACATGGGGCCCATATGGGTAGCCCATCTGTAGCCCATGTCCCACTGGGCCCATCTGGCCCATGTTTACCCCATATGGGACTTACATGGGATGCCCATCTCCAGCCCACATGCGTTTGGCCCACCTGGCCCATTTTTATCCCATATGGGGCCCATATGGGTTGCCCATCTGTAGCCCATGTCCCACGTGAGCCCATCTGGCCCATGTTCACCCCATATGTGACCCACATGGGATGCCCATCTCCAGCCCACATGCGTTTTGCCCACCTGGCCCATTTTTATCCACTATGGGGCCCATATGGGTAGCCCATCTGTAGCCCATGTCCCACGTGGGCCCATCTGGCCCATGTTCACCCCATATGGGACCCACATGGGATGCCCATCTCCAGCCCACATGCGTTTTTCCCACCTGGCCCATTTTTATCCCATATGGGGCCCATGTGGGTAGCCCATCTGTAGCCCATGTCCCACGTGGGCCCATCTGGCCCATGTTCACCCCATATGGGACCCATGTGGGCATGTTTGCTGGGGCTCAGCCCATATGGGACCCAGATTTAGCCCAGATAATAGCCCACATGTAGCCCATGCCCACTTAAGCCCAGATACCCCACTTTCAGCCCATATGGGCCCCATTTGGGAAGGCTGGCTGGGTATAAGTCAATGGGAGAAAATTGAAATGCGCCTCTTTTGGACGAAAGACGTTATAAACACTCCCAAACACTGAATTACAAGTGTTTTAAACACACTGAACATGAAAATGGTGTCCGTGACCCCTATTTATGCCCCTGAGGTCATCTCAGGTCACGAATGGTGTCTAACAGTTTTTCGCAAATAACTTTTGATAGAGGCATGCTAGAGCGGTAAAAACGCCTTAGATGTGTTCAACTCGACGATACGGATCGACTGATATGCAACATGACCTTTTCCGGTCAGGTCATGACCTTGACCTGAGGTCAAATTTTCAAG